AGATCTTATGCATTTAACATTCTTAGGTTTTGTGTTTCTTAGAGTACGTTGTGGCAGACATTTTTTAGGAAAGGCAAAATGCTGCAATTACACACAGAATAACTTGGTGAAGCAGAGGTGAGATCCACTGCCATTCAATGCTGCAGGGATTATTTTATAGTAGTGGTGGGAGAAGGGCCTGTGGCTGAGGGCTTACAGGTAATGTTTTTGAAGGATGTTTTGAAAACAGTATAAATTTTTGTTTGAGAATATGAGTAAAATCTGTTTCAAGTAAAAGTTTTTAATTTTCTTGTGGTTCTTTTGATATGAATGCATAGGGGCCATTGACAGTTTTTAAAGAAAGGAAATCAGTTTCATTTTTTTTGAAATAGTGAGAATGCTGGTAACCTAATTGTCTCCCTTTAGATTTGAGAGACAGCTGCTTAGCAGACTGAAAACCAGATCAGGAAAGGTATAGGAAGTTCCTACTACTTTATATATTCAATTCTTTAAGGGAAACTGGGTGGGTCCTTTACTTCCCTGATACTTTTTTTTTTTTTTTGAGGCGGAGTTTCGCTCTTGTGACCCAGGCTGGAGTGCAATGGCGCAATCTCGGCTCACCGCAACCTCCACCTCCTGGGTTCAGGCAATTCTCCTGCCTCGGCCTCCCGAGTAGCTGGGATTACAGGCACGCGCCACCATGCCCAGCTAATTTTTTGTATTTTTTTTAGTAGAGACAGGGTCTCACCATGTTGACCAAGATGGTCTCGAGCTCTTGACCTCATGATCCACCCGCCTCGGCCTCCCTACTTCCCTGATACTTATTCATAGGATATGACGTATAGCTTGTGGATGCTGGTGTGAGGGTCACAATATGAGGTTAGTTAACTTCCACGGAGCTGGGTTCTTGGTTTGAGAAAGACACACAGTATGGCATCTTCTGACTGAAGCTAGCAAATCCCAGAGTAAATCATATTTGTGCCAACTGATAAGTGAGAAGGTGGTAACAATTTCAATAAACAAAATACTTAACCAGACAAACCTAAAATCAATCAAAAGGAAGTCATAGTTTATTTTCACATTAGATCATCAAGCTTGGTATAATTGAAGGGAATGAAAAGAGATATTTATTCATATTAAAATTTTTAACAGTTAAAGAAATGAGCAGGAAACTATTCCTTGCAAGTACTCACTTTTTTTTGTGCTCTACAAGAAATCCTAAACTGTGGGTTTAATTATGTTGGCATTTTGTTTAGATGAATGTAGAAATGAATGTATGCATTTTAATTATGATAACTTTTATTAATAGCATACTTTATGGAATAAGACTAGATACCAGATTCTGCCTCTTTTAAAAGGCCTATTATTTCCAGTGATTATTTATTGAACTTGCATTCTGCTTTGTAGCTTAATTATTTGTACATTTAAAAATTTTAAGCTAAAAAAGCATGATACAAAGTAATTGTGTAATTGCATATGGATCAGTAATAGTGTGGAAACTTCCCCTTTGGTATTTTGTTTTAGAATTTGTTCAGGTGTGTTAATATTAAAATTACATTACTGAGATACATTCTTTTTCTCTAAAGAGAATAGAAATTTATACAGTATTTGATTGAAACTGAAAAGTGAGCATAAAATAAGAGTTCAAGTAGCATAGAATTTAGAGATGGCTCATAATCATTTTCCTCTGAATAAGTCATTTGTAGTTCAATAACAGCTGTACCGAGTTAACTAATCATGAAGAGTACCTGTTCAAAAGTAAGCCTGTAGATGAATTAGATATATACCTTGGAGAAATATGAGCTCAGTACTTTTATGCCATTATAAACTCAAAGTATATTCAGCCTTGTTCTAAAAAGACTGTTCATGTACTTTGTTAGACATAGTAAAGGGTTCAGTCCTAATAGTTGTAAAGTAATTATTCAAGATACATTACATCTCTTTTTAAAAATAGGAATTTATTTTCAGATCACCACATTGAGTAAATTCAATTCTAAGTATGTTTTGGTGGTGTTGCCTTTTCTCCATCTTACATTTTCCCTTTGAGGTTTTGGATTATCTTTATCCAAGGAGATTTGGGCAGAATTCCTTTTGGCTGTTTTCCTGTACTTTTTCTTCCTTCTTTTCTTTCTCTTTCTCTCTGGTCAATGTAGAGTCACATTGTGAACATAAGCTGTTTTCCTCCTTTCAACCTTTATACTCCTAATTTTATTTACATATGTATGTATTTTAAATGACAGATATCATTTTAATATCACTGTTGGGGAAAAAGTTCTTAAATAAGAGTTAATTCAGATTTATTCATATTTAACAAGTTAGTTATTAATTTCTCTAATACACACAGATGTCTATCATTCTTCCTTACTTCCCTCATAAATCCTTCCCTTCCACTCTAGATAATCTCCCATCCTGAGATTTAACAATACAGATTTTACAGTTTGAAGTCTTTCTTTCTTTTTTCTTTTTTGAGACAGGCTCTCATTCTGCCTCTCAGGCTGGAGGGCAGTGATACCATCTTGGCCTTCTGCCTTCCAGGCTCAAGTAATCCTCCCACCTCAGCCTCTGGAGTAGATAGAACTATAGGCACTTGCCACCATGCCCAGCTAATTTTTTTTTTTTTTTTTTTTTTGTAAAAACGGGGTTTTGCCATGTGTCTGAGGCTGTTGAGCTCATGGGCTCAAGAGGTCAGCCACCTCAGCCTCCCAAAGTACTGGGATTAAAGGTGTGAGCCACCATGCCTGGCTGCCAATTCTTAAAATTTAAAATTAATTGAGTTGATATAGTTGAAACACTAGGCTGCATAGATCTTAGGATTTTTTTTTTTTTGGTACTTTTTTTTTTTTTGAGACAGAGTCTTGCTCTGTTGCCCAGGCTGGAGAGCAATGGCATGATCTCGGCTCACTGCAACATCTGCTTCCCAAGTTCAAGCAATTCTCCTGCCTCAGCCTCCTGAGTACCTGGGATTATAGGCACATGCCCCCATGTCTGGCTAATTTTTCTATTTTAGTAGAGACGGTTTCACCATGTTGGTGAGGCTGGTCTGGAACTCCTGACTTTGTGCTCCGCCCACCTTGGCCTCTCAAAGTGCTGGGATTACAGGTGTGAGTCACCATACTCAGCAATATATCAATTTTTAGGGGTTAGAATAATTTACCCTGGTAGAAACTCATTTTATTATGGTGGCTGCTAGATACTGAAGCTTGTGTATTAAGCTAATTTTTCAATTGGTATTTATATTCATTTCCATAGAAAGGTATTGTTTTAAAACTTTCCATTTCTTTAATGTATTAAAATACTTTTTTTATCCTTATACGTGCAAGTCTCGATTCCCCTATTGAAGAGATCTGACAAATTGCAGCTTCAGAATAATTATCAATTGGTTTTCTAAATTTCTTAATTTTATTTGTTCTTAGGAAAGATATGAATCTAATCAGCCTGAACACTTCTTGCTTAGGTCCTTGTTATTCATTTGAAATATTGCCTGTTTTATCTAGAACAGATAGTTCCTTCCCTTACTATATCCTTCAAAGTATTGTATGTGACAGAATAACCTAGTATCTTTTTTCTTTCTTTTTTTTTTGGAAACAGGATCTTACTCTGTCACTCAGGCTGGAGTGGAGTGGTGCTATCTTGAGTCACTGCAGCCTCAACGTCCCCCAGTTCCTTTGGGAGGCTAAGGTGGTCCTTTTTTCACTGTAGCCTCTTGAGTAACTGGGATTAGGTGCTCTGCCTGTGTAACTTGTATTTTTTTGTAGAGATGGGTTTTCGCCATGTTGCCCAGGCTGGTCTTGAACTCCTGGGCTCAAGAGATCCACCTTCCAAAGTCCTGGGACTTACAGGCATGAGCCACTGTGCTCGGCTGACAGAATAACCTAGTTTCTAACCTTAGTTTTTTAAGGTTGCAATATTGCCTCATACTATAAAGTATCCTCCCGAATATTGGCTTCATGCACTAGAGTTATGCTATGTGATTATTTCAGCATTGTTATCACATAACAAGGTTATAGGTCTCTTAATGTGACTTAAAATAATAATTTTTTGCAATAAGAATACATTACTATTTGAGTAAATACTGTTATTGACTAAGTATTAACTAGAATTTTCTAATGCTGTATGTACAGCATTAGTACATGATAAAAAATTTTTACCTATAGTTGTAGCTCAATCATATATTAGTCTCAGTTTTCTCAAGAGATGATTTAGGTGTGATTACTTTATTTTTTTGTTTTTTTGAGACAGAGTCTCACTCTGTCACCTAGGCTGGAGTGCAGTGGTGTGATCTTGGCTCACTGCAACCTCTGCCTCCCAGGTTCAAGCAATTCTCTTGCCTCAGCCTCCTGAGTAGCTGGGATTACAGGCATATACCACCACACCCAGCTAATTTTTTTATTTTTAGTGGAAATGGGGATTCACCATGTTGGTCAGGCTGGTCTTGACCTCGTGATCTGCCTGCCTCAGCCTCTCAAAGTGCTGGAATTACAGGCGTGAGCCACTGTGCCCGGCCGAATGATCTACTAAAATAAGATAATGTGAAGATACTTGTACATAGTAGGTGTTTAATAAATATTAATATGTATTCTCAGATTCAACTTCGTTTGTCAAGAAGATTTAAGTTAATCTTGATTAACATAATTCAATTATCAAACAATTTGGGGAGAAATTATAAATTATTGAAAGAAGGGCATATTTATTAGCATTAGTCAAATATTTCATGAGGTTTTTTTTTCCAATTTATAAAACATTAGTATCTACAGTTTTGTTTTGTTGTTTTGAGATGTAGTCTCGCTCTGTCATGCCCATGCTGGAGTGCAGGGGTGTGATCTCGGCTCACTGTAACCTCCACCTCCTGGGTTCAAGTGATTTACCTGCCTCATCCTCCTGAGTAGCTGCGATTACAGGCACTCACCACCACACCCGGCTAATTTTTTTTTTTTTTTTGTATTTTTAGTAGAGATGGAGTTTCACCATGTTGGTCAGCCTGGTCTCAAACTCCTGACTTTAGGTAATCCACCTGCGTTGGCCTCTCAAAGTGCTGGGATTACAGGTGTGAGCCACTGTGCCTGACCTACTGTCTACAGTTTTGAAAAAGGGGAATGTATTGCTTCAGATGCTACAGCTAAAAGTCTTATTTTCTCTTTTAAAATCTTTTTGCTTTAATTAGAAAAAAATGTATTTAATAGATTTTGCCTTAAGATTTTGTTGATATTTTTAAATATGCATAGATTTACTTAGAAAGCAATTTCCTTTGGCCTTCTCACTCATACTGTTTCTTAAGTTTATTAATGAACTAAGAATAACAGAAAAAGAATAGCCAAAAGTCTGAAGTTTGGATGATGTTTAATTTCCTTTTTTTACCCTTCCTAACATAGTGTGTTTTCTGTTGAAAGATAACTCCACAATGAAATCTTAGCAAATAATTCACAGCTTTTTCCTTCTGCCACCTACCCCCACCATTGGCCTTTTACAAACATGTTGAGCATGTTTGAAATGATGGGACCTATGGTAGTAGAAGTATATTTCATAGGCAGTGCTTGAAAAGTGGTATTCTTATTTTAAAGTTCTGCTTCAGTTTGGTGCCAGAAGTTGTCTTTAGTATTTGCATGATGTAAATTAGCTCTCCTATTGTAGAAGAATTTTGAAGAGAATCTTCTTTTTAGTGACCTATATCCTTCAAAGCCTTAAGAATTAAACTTCCTTGAAGAAATGACAAGTTCGATGCTTAATTATGTATATTTAGCTATATATTATTACTTAAAAATTAGATAAGTGGGCTAAGTAGGGAATTAGAAATTAATTTATTTTTGCTGGAGTAATTTCCCCCCATTTGTCATTCAGTAAGAAGGAATGGTTGTCATTCAGATTTTAGGTACATGTTGAGTAGTATCCCTTATCCAAAATTCTTGGGATTGGAAGTGTTTCAGATTTTGGATTTTGGGATATTTGCACATATATAATGAGGTATCTTGGGGACAGGACCTAAGTGTAGACACTAAATTTATTTATGTTTCATATATACCTTGTAATTTTGTACCATCAGAAAGCTAAGATGTTAGGTATGGAATTTTCCACTTGTGTTGTCATGTTGACAATCAAAAAGTTCTGGATTTTGGAACAGTTTGGAGTTCTGTTGATTTAAGGATGTTCAACCTATGTATTACTTCATTTCATGTTTACCTGATTGTGTTTAAAGTAGGACTGTTTTGAAGAAACAAGTAACAAATTGAGTGAATCAGCTTCAATGGTTGTAGAGATTATGACTGTTCATTTGTTGCTGGGCTACATTTCTAGGCATTTCGGAAAATGTTAACTGATAATGAACCATATCAAAAAGAATGGCTAATAGTAATTTGAACCCAGCTAGTATAAATTTTAACATGTTTTTCAGAAAAATATGCTGCTGTAGTATGATTAAACCTTAAGTTTGTTGTGATGTTTGTTATACTGAAATTATAGGAAGGGAAGTCTTGGATCATTGTCTTTTATTCTGTTAACTTTGAATTGTTAATTAAACTTTTGAAAGTTGTAGGATAAATCAAATGGTTTTCTAGGGAAACAAGAAACAGTATTAATGAGCAACAACCCCATAATTATCCTTGTGAGTACATAACAGGGACACATTCATGTCTTTTCTTTGCGCAATAACTTTTACAAAGAAGTATTTTTAAACTGATCATTAATTTTATTACCACAGAAATGAGATGCAAAATTTATGCTGTTGTCATTGGTACAGGCCCACGGCACCACTGACATTATGTGTGATTGTAATAGAATGGCTGCCAACTAATGATTCTGTAGACATTTCATTTGAGCATGCTTTTCTTTTAGATGTCTGATTAGGCTGTAATGCTTTCAATTATGTCTGTAAATTTTATTGGATACGTTTACCTGATGCCTATTGTTGATTTGGAGTTCAGTTTTCTATTACATAAACACAAGTTGAACATTTTCCTTTTAATTTATAGAAGTCTTTGCAGGTATAACTACAAATACTCAGCCCCTGGGGAGGAAAAAATGCTTTGCGCTACTCAACAGCGACCCCTGTGTTCAGTTAAAACTCCTTATAAGACAGCAGCAGCTTTTACTCTTTATTGGGTTGAAAAAAAATTAGGGAGGAAAAGGGATGGATTGTCACTGGAACAATAGTAAGATGAAGAAGACCATGTTGAAAAATGATGTGTCCTTTCAACTTAATGCAGGTTAAAAAGGGACTATCCCTGTATATATGGCATATAGATTCTTTGCTTTCTGAGTTAATTCAAAGGATTCTGGGGAGAAAAAAATAAGGAAGAAATGAAGCCAATAGCAGTACTCAATTCATTTTGTCTTAGGTAAATATAAATATCACACTGATTTAAAAAAAAATACTTGCAATGAGCTGCAATTCTACATATAACCCAAAAGTATTTTATTTTTATTTTTTGAGACAAAGCCTCCTTCTGTTGCCCAGGCTGGAGTGCTCACAATCTTGACTCACTGCAACCTCTGCCTCCTGGGTTCAAGCAATTCTACCTGTCTCAGCCTCCCGAGTGGCTGGGATTACAGGAGCCTGCCATCATGCCTGGCTAATTTTTGTATATTTAGTAGAGATGAGGTTTTGCCATGTTGGCCAGGCTGGTCTCGAACTCCTGAGCTCAGATGATTGACCTGCCTCAGCCTCCTACAGTGCTGGGATTACAGGAGTGAGCCACCACACCCGGCCTATTTTTTTGTAATAAAAATTAAACCCACAGAGGTCTTTAACATGGTAGTGATCGGTTTGTGTAGAATAAATACTCTTAACTCATATGAAATATTATTGCATTTATAGCTTTAGTAATGAACTTTTGCTATGTATATGTATATTATACATATTTTCTTAAGAATGCTGTTTGCATTTGGGTGTATGTATGTGTATATAAATGCATATATACACATATATACACACATAATAGATATTATCAAAAGATAAATAACTACTTCTAATTTTAAAAGCTAACGTTTAATTTTTTCTGTTTACTTACATATAGAATTTCATATATTTAAGACTGAACATCTGAATTTCTTTCAAAGTCTTTACTACATATTGTTTGGCTTTACTATTCTTTTAAAATAGTCATAGTAGGAAAACATGCCACATGCTAAGTTGTGATGTTTTTGAAGTATCCTAATATTCTTTTTTTGTGCAACATCTTTTTTGTGTGAGATATTGAAATATTTTTAGAAAATTCATACCACAAAAATTCTTAACTTTATTAAGAATGTAAAAATACTGTAACAACTACAAGTAACTGAGAATTTCTTGATTCCTACTGGTACATATTCCATGAACTGTCATAACATGTTCAAAATATTTTTGCTAGCACTTTATGAAGTTCCTTCCTACCTTATGTTTGAAATCAGATCACTCTTTTTTTGTTAAAAAAAAGTTTTTTTTTAGAGGTGGAGTCTTAGTCTGTTGCCCAGGCTGGAATACAGTGGTGCAGTTATAGCTCACCGCAACCTCAAACTCCTAGGCTCAAGCAGTCCTCTTACTTCAGCCTCCCACAGATGTGAATACAGATGCAGGCCACCACGCCTGGCTAATTGTTGTTATTTTTATTTAGTGGCGTGGTCTGGTGTCTAATTCCTGGCCACAAGCGGTCCTCTGGCCTCAAGCATCCTGAGTAGCTGAGATTACAGACATGAGCACTGCCCCCAGCCTAGCACTCTTTTTTGCATAAGGAATATTGTAGGGGATCATTGAGTGTTCTGAAAAGGACTTGAAACATCTCGAAAGAAAGAGAAATTAAGTTCTGAAGAATGAGTAATATTTATGTGTTCCTTAGAATTTTAACTGGGGGAGAAACATCACCGTATTTAGTGTACCTAGTAGTAGAATCCCTAAGGTTGACAGTATAGCCATCTCTGTGTTCTGCCCTTCTTGTCTTAATGAGAGATGTCTCTGTGATGACAATTGCTCATGAAATGGAACAATTATAAAGAAATTGAGAGGAATATGTATTTTTAAAAGTTATTTTGACAGTACTGTCTTGAAAGAGGCTATTTTCTGTACCAAAAATGTGGTAACAAATAGGGTGACACCCATCAAATTGGTGTCAGAGGACACAGATACCCTTTTGGAGAGATAGGTAGCTTTAATCTGTATCTGCCAGGACCTCTGGTTCTAAGTAATACTATAGGCACTCTGTGGTTCCTTTGGGGATTTTCCTTTTGCTTTTTGAGTAATCCTTGAGGTGACTGTTTTTCTGTCAGGTAGAATTCAACAGTCAAATACTTAATATAGAATTAAGGATATATTTTTCTTTGTTGTGAAATCCGGGTGAGAAATGAATGCTATGTGTAACTGGGCTAGCAAATATTTGAGTTTTTTAAAAAATATATTTTAAATGATTATATGGAAAAAATTGAAACCACAAGATCTTGTGAAGACTAATTAGCCTAAAATAAAGAATCAATTAAAAAATCAATCAACCAACCTAAGATTTGAAAATCAAGTAGGAAACTGGACAGAACATTAAAAAATAGTAACATACAATTGAAACTGAAAGTGTCTAGTTTGTAAATTACCCTTGCTTGAATTTTAAAAGATTATGTTAATTTTAAAGCAGTTTTTTTCTATAAAAGATTTGTGCTCTCTAATGCAATCCTGTGATTTTTAATGAAAATACAAAATATTCATATATCTTCAAATTACTAGTTTCTCATCATAATTTTTCAAATTATCAAGTAGGTAAATGGAATTACTTGAATTATGTTTTCTTTTGTGCTTCCTGGGCTTTTGCTGTTGTTGTCATTATTTTGGCTTTGTTTGTTTGGATATATACACTCTGTTTTACCCTGCTTCTGCTTTTTGGATTCTTCTTTGTAGAGGTCATTATAATTTTGGACTGTATCCTTTTGTATCATAAATATGCAGTCATAGAATGACCTTCAAAAACTCTTACTATAAGTTACAATGGCTATATACTAAAATAAGACCTGTTTTTACCTAGTTTTAAAAGTTTTCTTTGTTTTTCCATGAAAATGACTGAATTTAGTAGTAAAATTTACCTCTTTTAACAAAGTAACATTAAGTAATATTGCTTTAAATGGCTAAAGTATAAAAGGCATTTATCTGATTTTTTTTTTTTTAGGTGATATGGAAGATGGGGACGAATATGATGACCCTTTTGCTGGGCCTCCAGACACTATTTCATTAGCTTCAGAACGATATGATAAAGATGATGAAGCCCCCTCTGATGGTATGTGACATTTTCCTGCATAACTCTGAACAATGCTATGTATATAGGTGGTAGTTTTCTGAGAAAGCAGATGAACATAGAGGCTTTGGCTAACTTAACTTTACCAAAACCTTTAAGGAACAGAAGAGCTCTCTCTAGTGGTTCTAGTGAGGTTTTCCTAAGTATGCAATTGCTTCTTTTTCTTGGAAATTTTCTTTACTAAAATTTTTGAGAGAGTGCCTGTATCATCATATGAATATTATTAGTAACAGTTTGTTAGTTAATTTAATATTATCAGATTCTTGCTTAATTTTATTGTACTACTTAAAGCCTTATTGTATTATTTATTTTATAAATAATAAAAAAGATTTTTGATCTACTTTTTCTGAAAACTTATACAAAATGAGTTCATAAAATATTAAGTTAATTTTCTGACATTGCCTTTTCACATTGAGACAGATTTTTATCAAATGTTTCTTTTAATACACATTTTCATTTTTATGATTATCACTCAAAAGTGCCTCATATTACATAGTAATATTGTAATGTTAGTGTTAACTGAATTAGTAATAAAATTATCTCTTAGTAATTTCTAAAAGCTATTGAATATTGCCAAAGTTATGAAACTTGTTTTTTAAGTGTAGTATGTGCTTTCTCTGTTATCGCCATTGAATACATCTACATTATATAAACCTTATAAGGGTAATATATAGTTATAAATTAAGAGTGTATATCAATAAATTAGTCATGCATATTAATTTGTAACACTCAAAGTTTCACATAGACATAGAAATGAATAATACCTTCTGACACTATGTGATGATCAAACTGTGCAGTTCCATCTCTAAATACAATTGCTGAATGAAAATATGCTTCCTGCAACAGAGCACTCCACATTTTATGTTATCCAGATTATTCCCTTTGGAAACATAAATTGTTTTTACGAGGTATAAAATTATGTCTATTGCAGAACAGGGATAAGTCAAGTACATGCATAAGTGATAAACATTCTAACCACTGATTCAGTACAAAACAATCTTTTTTTATATCCAGAACTTTGTACAAAGTGTAGCAATAATAGTCATATCTATTTTATGTTGAATTTTATGCTTTGGCAAACATTTAATTTCTATTTTTAAAGGGAGGGATTTTTTTTTTGCTCTTATATTCACTTTCTATCTTTTAAAGAGATACACATTTTTTTTCTCCACCAAAACAGAGCATTATCCTTTCCAACCTTATCTTCAGAAGTATTTCTACCAGAACATGTTTATAATTGAAGAAATAATATTTTCAGGCAAAACAATGAATTATTATTTAGGTGGTGCTATTTTTCAGACACATTACAATTGCTTTATTTTTCTGTAAAATGTTGGTATATATGAATGTGTGTGTTTATATACACATACAGACAGAATATTTATACTAAGAGAATACAGACACACAGAATATATTCATAGAATATATATACATAGTTTCTTAAAATAGCATAAATATTTTAATATACACGGGAGTGCTATGTGTATTCTTGAAAAATTTGCACCCTGAAAAGAACAATTAAATATCTATGAGAGCCAGAAATCCTCTAGTAGCTTGTTAGAAAAAGTAAATTGTTATTAAATTATAGTGCATTTACATGATTGTGTTTTCTTTTTAAGAGTAAGTAATTTATTATATATTTTTATAATCAAATATTCAGGAAATACACTAAAATATTTTCTGTTGAAAGGTTATTTTATTGATTTAAAATATTATTTAACATTTATATATAACATCAAGTTTTTTGTTAAATATTAGTGCCTATTCATTAGTGTTTAAGCAATTGAGCAAATTAAAACTTTAACCTGTAGTATTAGTCATTTTTGATATGTAAATAATACCATTTTTGATATATAAATACTACTATTTTTGATACTTTCACATTTTCTTCTAAGAATATCATTATTAAACTTAAATTTCAAACTACCACATGGACATTAAATATTCACTATAAAATTTTTTTTTTTCTTTTTCCATGCCTTCCCATGGCACTAAAATATCATCTCAGTTTTTCTCCCTTCAACTTAGATTTTTGTGTGTTCCCTTTCCTTTGATGAATAAATTTCCTTCATTATGTGACCTGAGCCTAATAATATATTAATTACAAAAAAGATAATGCATTTAACAATAAGCATAACCAAATTAGCACAGGTCACCAAGAGGCCTTTTGTCAAATCAGATTGTTGTTTTGTCCTTTTGACTTTTAGCTTATGGTAGGCACTAACAAAGTATCTGAACTTTGATGGATTATAAACTCTAAACATGATATGTATTTTTCATAATGCTAATGTAATTTTCAAGGTACTGAAAAGGTCAAACCTGCACATCTGTATGTGCATTCTAAGTCCATCTTTTGCTTTAATATTTCTTTTTCTCTGTTCCTCTGGTTCAAAAGTTCACTCAGTTCCCAAATGGCCACCTAATTTTCCAGTTATTCCCCCAAGCCATATGTGTTTTGGTTTCTTTATGGTTTATTAGGTACTGTAGGAAAGTAGCATAAGTTATATCTTCTAATGAAATTCAAGCACACTTCAGTGATGCTTCGACTTGATTGCTGGTAGCAATTAAATCACAGCAAGGAGAATAATGCATAATTTCACAAGGTCCAGGCACCACATAGAAATTGAATAGGGATGAAAACAAAACAAAAACAAAGTCTCCAAACCCTGCCAGGTAGGTTGTTTTCAGCCTGCCTTTTTTTTTTCTTTTTATTGGCCAACTGCCTGATTGATAGCAAAATCATAACTTGCTGCATGCTAACAGGCAGAGTTCACTTGTAGGTTATTGTGAGCTGATAAAGGGTTAGATGGAGTTTTGATTTTCACATTGGACCCTGGTACATCAGATTAATGGAATTTCAATGAGAGACTAGAGTAGCCACAGCTTTGTCAGAGAAACAGATGGAAATACTATAGTCATGTCTACTCATTAATACTAGTTGTCTGAAAGGTGTGCTGCTTCTCTATACAAAAGAGTTGATATAATTGATTTTTGAGTGGTACATTGGAAAAAACTACCTTATTGATGACTAGAATTGTAACATAGATGGTGTCAGATTTTTGCATAGCTCATAGCATAAAAATATCATACTTGTAAATTTTTCTTTTCGCTCTTTGGAAATGCTTCTTATGTTTTACATTTTTTTGAGAAGGAGTACATTTTGAGATCAGTAGCTAAAAAATAGAGAATGACATGCCAAATTACCTTTTAGGAAAAAAGAATGAGTCCGTAGTTTATTTATAAATGATTGCATGATTGTTGTTAGAGTTTCGTTTTGATATTATATTTAGAAGAAAGTATACTTATTAGAAGTTTCATTTTGTTAGCTTTATGCTTGTTTTTTTTTCTGGAAAACAAAAAAACCCAATAGTTTCTAGACTATTGTAGATCACTATTACAAGTTTTACACTATCATGTGGCTGGATATATTGGAGTATTAATATAAATGGTGCATGTCAGTAATCAGATAAAGTTGGAGATAATGAGATTTACAACCTTAAAGAATATCCCTTTCTGTACACGTTAAAATGTTTAGACACTAAGGTGGGTAGATTTAGAGTAGACTTTAGACAGTATATAATTACTTGGGTTTCCATTTTTCAATTCTGAAATCATTTTTCATTCATTTTTGTCATTTGTAAAAGAAAGCTTCTGCCCATATAGCATTGTGGAAAGTCCCTAAGCTAAGGTGAAAGGATTCAGTGAGCTAAAAGACATATATTGGCTCTGCCCATCGCTGATAGGTGGAAGGATCTCAGTGGATGTTTGTTACAAATCTAATTCAGTCCTAGACCATAATCACTTTGTGGATAAAAATCTGGAACCTCTAGGGTGTGAAAATAGGAAGGCTAAAATGAAGCTGAAGATATAATACAGTCATTTTAGAGATACATCCTGGTATCTTTCTAACTAAAAATTTCTGAATAACATAGGTTACTGAAAGGCTGTGGGCATTGCAAGGACATAGGTTTATGTGAAGTTTATTTGCAATGGAACTATTTTTTAAATCTTAGGGATTAACAAAGTCTAAACTATTTTAATCATAATTTATAATATCAAAAATTTTTTTTGGTATACCTTTCCTTACAAAAGTCTAATGTATAAAAATTTGGATTAATAAAACATGTAAATCATTTTTTTCAATAGATTTCTTTAAAAAGATTGTCTCCAGGATGCATATAAATAATTAGCCCTTAGAAAGTATCTAAAATAGGCTTAGATATAAACCTATTCATGTGCACACACATAGGCTTAATGTACCAGATTTTTGAGGAAGCTTTGTGTGTGTGTGTAAAATTAGGTGTAGCACCAATCACTTCTTATCAAAACCACACAACAGATGTTTTACTTTTCTCTGATATCAGCTGAGTATGAAACAAGGTTTAAAACTAGAAAAAAATTTTTTTCAACAACTTAGCATTTAAGGTAAGTATGAAACAATGTTTAAAACTAGAAAAAAAATTTTTTCAATAACTTAGTATTTAGAGTAAGGTTTTTTTTTGTTATTTTTTACCCTAGTATCTTTTTTTTTTTAAATTGTACTTTAAGTTCTGGATTACATGTACAGATCTTGCAGGATTATTGCATATGTACACACATGCCATAGTGGTTTGCTGACTCCATCCACCCCCTCCATCACCTACATCAGACATTTCTCCCAGTTACCCCTCCCCAACCTCCCTGCCCCCTGCTGTTCCTCTCCTAGTCCCCTACCCCCCAACAGACCCCAGTGTGTGATATTCCCCTCCCTGTGCCCATGTATTCTCATTTTTTAACACCCTCCTATGAGTGAGAACATGCAGTGTTTGATTTTCTGTTCTTGTGTTAGTTTGCTGAGAATGATGGTTTCCAGATTCATCCATGTCCCTACAAAGGACATGAACTCATCCTTTTTTATGGCTACATATTATTCCATGGTGTATATGTGCCACAGTTTCTTTGTCCAATCTATCATTGATGGGCATTTAGGTTGGTTCCAGGTC